GAAAAAAAAATATTTTATTAGAATATTACATCAAAAGTCATTATAATAATATTCAGATTGGAATGTAAGATTTGACATGTTCTATTTATTTGTTTGTTTGTTTTCAATATATTTTTTATTAAATAATGTAATAAAATATATGTATTTTAAATATGTTACAAAAAATTGTTTTATTATTTTTGTATTTTACATTAATTTAAATGTCCTTAGTAAGCTGTTACTATAACTGAATTTAAGATTTGACATGCTGATTATTTCTTTATTTTTAATACATTTTTGTTATGAAATAATTGAATAAATGTAAATAATTTATTATTATTATTATTATTATTATTATTATTATTTTACACTCATTTAAAATGTTCTTAGCAAGCCGTTATAATAATATTCAGTATGGATTTAAGATTTTATTTTTTGGTTATTTATCTATCTATCTATCTATCTATCTATCTATCTATCTATCTATCTATCTATCTATCCATCCATCCATCCATCCATCCATCCATCCATCCATCCATCCATCCATCCATCCATCCATCCATCCATCCATCCATCCATCCATCCATCCATCCATCCATCCATCCATCCATCCATCCATCCATCCATCCATCCATCCATCCATCCATCTATCTATAAGCTGATATAATAATACTGAGATTGAATTGAAGATTTTACATGATCTGGTTATTGATTATAACACTCAAAAATGGTCATAAACAATATTTACTAGCACTGGCATGTATTACGATCTCTGATCAATGTGCTGCCTCATCAAAAAGAAAACACCGGAGCAATTCACTGCCGATATGTAAAGTAAATTCATATGTGGCTGTTTGTCAATCTCAATCAAAAACTACAGCTAGTTTCCTACAGTGTCTAAGCAGTTACCAATATGCACACTTACACTCGCACACTCATACACTATTACCCTCACAGTCAGCCCGCGCTCGCAGGGGGAGCTCGGCCAATTACCCACGGGGTCAAATGCAAAAATATGCGGTCATACAAACACACAACACGCAAACACACCGCGTCACCCAGGGCAAGCTGCGCTGCATCTCCTCACCTCAGAACCTGCTCACGGCTATACCACCGGCTTGGAAAAAATAATATTCGGGAACACGTTACTTGAAGCCTTCACGTATAATGCATTACAAAAATATTCATAAAGGAACGTTGCAATGCATTGTATCTCATAAATAATCGTAAACGAAGTTAAAATGCAATATACTATTTGCAGATTCCTTGTTACACATTAATTTGTTTTAATGCATTATACTTTCCAAAAGAGGAAAAATTAAGTAATATATTGTATTATCACTGTGGTTACAATTACTCATGAGATCCTGTCAGGCATTATAAGACATAATTAAAGGGGTAATTAATTACTGGCAAGATGGGGCTTTAATAAAAGTTGGCTGTCTATGCAGTAGAACTTTTTTTTTATTTTTTAATTGGTGCTACACAACTAGAGAAAACAGAGAAAAAGGTTGGGGATACAAAAATGCATTCGTATGATATCTGTAGATTTCACAAAAGCCCTGAAGATGTTTTTTTTTTTTAAAGTCTGCTGGATTACGTAAAATGCATAATTTTGCTGACAAATAAATGTGACCCAGCCAGGACCACAAAACATAACTGAACAAAACAAAACAAAACATAAGGGTCAATTTTTCGAAACTGAGATGTATACGTCATCTGAAAGCTGAATAAATAAGCTTTCCATTGATGTATGGTTTGTTAGGACAATATTTGGCCGAGATACAACTATTTGAAAATCTGGAATCTGAGGGTGCAAAAAAAATCTAAATATTG